TTACGATTTACGATTAGGTTCTTACATGTGTTAGGAATTAAATTTATTATTTTTTATGACAAAATTAAATTAAAAAGATATTAGACATTACTTATAAATAGTTAAATCAATTATATAACACGTTATGTCAATAGTTAAGCAACCAATTCAAATATTTGAATATTTTTTACTAATTGAAAGGATTTGAACTTTATTGATTCAAATCTTACTATTTGATTAAATTAAATATTAAAAGAAAATTCACAATATAGTATTTGTTAGTATATAATTTTATTTTAAAGTGGGAAAACTACTAATTGGAATGAGTTATAAATTTTTCTTCTTCTAAATAAACATATTATTTTATTTTTTTTATTTAGATTTGTTACACTATCGATTTAATAACATAAGTAAGTTTGAATTAAGTTATGGATTTTTTTCTATTTAACTGAGCATTCTTTACATTTTTAAATGGTGGAGTTTATTAATAATTCTAATATTATATAATTAATGATAGATGTTTGGCGTATTGAACTGCAATTCTTTATATTTTTCAAACTTTATTATATTAAATTTGTTAATAATTTATTTAATATCATTTAATAATAATGAATGTTGCAATTAATATTTTAATTAGCAGTATTTATACAATTATGGTTAAAGATATCATAATAAGTTAATGTGTTTGGATGGTTAGGAGTGATGAATGTATTATGATGTCACAAGTTTTATCCCTAAAAATGCATTTTTTTCAATTATTTATCAAATAAAACTCGGTCACAATGAATTTAAATTAATTATTTAATTAAAATATAGTAGGGGGTAAATTAGACAATTCAATGTTAATCAATTTTATATTTATTTAATAAAAAAATAATCGAAGGATAATTTAGTAAAATACTTCATTTTTTAGAACATAGACCATGTTATTTTCCTAGGGTCCAGATTTAATCTAAAAAATTTAATGGTAATTAATACATATCTCATATAAGTTTAGAACACTGGTGGTCTCACCATAGAAAGACCCTAAATAATAATGATAAACCTAAAAAGGAAAGAAAGAAAAAAAAAACAATCACTCAGAAATAACCAGTGTTCTAAATCTGCGAGGCGGAGGCGGTTCAAAACCTTTTCGATTTTAGTGTCAAAGTTTGAAAAATCGGTTTTTTGCCTGTGAGGCGGTTTTAGGCTCTGAGGCGGTCCGAGGCGGTCAAACTTATAAGGCGGGTCAAACTCGGTGGCAAAAATTTTTTTTTTTTTTTTTTTTTTTTTTTTTTTTTTTTTTAAATAAAAGTTGGGATTTTAATAAAAGAAAATATGAGTTTATGCCTTATTTTGTTTATGTTAATTGTTATTGTTAAAGAACTAATGATGTATGCAAAAAATGTTCAAGAATAAATGTAAATTCAAAAAAATTACTTTTTTATTTATATTTTATAAGGATATTTATGTATTATTATCTTATAATTATTAAACTTTTATTATGTTATTAAGAATATATACATGACGGATATAACTATGTTTAAGTATCTTTTTATATATGTTTCGAGTATTTATAAATAATATCTAGAGATATATTATATTAAATTTTAAACATCGATTTATTTCCGATTTATGACCGATTAATCACCACCGCACCGATTAATCGTGAATCGGTGTCTGACCGACTCAGACCCAATTACCGCTTTTTACAACCTTAGAAATAACACGTAGGGTGCAGGGTGTTTGGGTGAACAAAAGGTCATTCACAAATAGAAACAATTTTGGCCCATATTGCAACAAGTGTTCAGGTTTTCACTCATTGCTCTGAGAGTTCAGTGTTCAGTCATTTCACTACTGTAAAAGTCGCATATCCGATCTATCTGCCTCCATTTGTATTTGATTTGCGTATCTCGATCGAGATTCGAATTTCATTTCTATAAAAGGCGCATCTTCTTAATTCAACTTTATTATAGATTTCAATTTAGCTTAATTTCACTAATTAATCGATTTTATTAGAGTATATTATATTATTAGATATTATATGATATTACTTATTAGGATTCTATTATAATTCAGTTACCTAGATTAGTTAGGATTTAGTTACTTAGTCAAACTCTATTACCTTGCATTATTTCTGTATATATATATTCCATGTAAATCAACTCATAACATAATGGGGGTTTCTATTCTATTACGTATTATTATTTAGGGATTATTTTACATACCCCCTAGAAGACCTGACCACCGGTTCGGTTAGAACCGGAACCGGAACCGGAACCGAACCGGGGTCAACGGTTTTAGAAACGAACCAGAACTGGAACCGGAATTGAAAAAACCGGTTCGGTTCCGGTTCCTCATTTTTGGAACCGGGAACCGACGGTTAGAACCGCGGTTCTAACCGTTTGAACAGGTTTTTTTTTTAAAAAAAAAAATATTAATTCTCTCTCTCTCTCTATACATATATATATATATATATATATACATACACAGACATACATATATAAATATATATATATATACTTCTCTGTATTTCTATTTATATATATATCTGTATGTATATATATATCTATCTGTATATATATATTTATCTCTCTCTCCTCTCTCTCTCTCTCTCTCTCTCTCTCTCTATATATATGTATATATATATATATATATATACACACACATTTAAGTATTAAGAAAAAAATTGACGTATTTAAAAAAAAAAAAATTTAAATATAAACATTTAAAAAAATATATATTTTTAAAAGTTTTTTTTAAGTTTTTTAAAGTATTTTTTAAGTTATATATATATATACATATATAAATATATATATTTATATAAAATTAAAAAAAAAATTATTAAGAACCGAACGGTTCTACGGTTCTAACCGGGAACCGAACCGGAACCGGTTAGGAACCGAACCGCAAGGAACCGGATTTTTTCGGTTCGGTTCCGGTTCCTCCAAAATCAGAATCAGAACCGGCGGTTCGGAACCGGAACCGGAACCGAACCGAACCGTGGTCAGGTCTACCCCCTAGCCACCAAATAAACTAGGGATAAACCCACGCCCAAATCATCCTTTGATATACCCCTGGAGAAGGGAAAGTACTATACCACCCTTATATGCAATTTCGGCCAAACTGCATTCAGCATTTCTGGTACTGTATTTATCATTTTCGTTGATTTATTTATATATTTTTTTAACTTTTTTTAAAAAATCAAAAAAAAAATAATTTTTTTTAATTTTTTAATTTTTTTATTTTTTTTAATTTTCAAAATAATATGTTTGCTGTACTGAAAATAACTACATGTAACTATAGTACCTATAGTAATTCGTAGTTATGTTCGTTTTTTTCCCCATATTTTTAGTTGATCAATTGTATACACACACGAATACTGGCTTATACAAAAGAAATTCATAAACCCCAATAAAAATTTACAGATGTCAATATTTTTATTATAAATCACCGCAGAACCAAAAAAAATAAAATATTGAAAATACACAAATATATGCATATATAACTTACATGTTACTATATATGTATAGTAATGTATAGTAATATATACAGTTTGTCAAACACTGCTTCACATGTGACTTCAACCAATTTTTTGACACCTTCATAAGCTGCAATTGCAAAATCAAAACAAAAAAAAATTACTTAGTTGCAAATCAACAAAATTTGATGAAACATCAAAACACTCAAAAATCAACAAACACTAAGAGGTCGAGAGATAGAGAGAGAGGTTATTGCTGGGAAATGCTACAAATTTTAAATCAAACATACAGTGAATCCTCCCCCTAGCCACCAAATAAACTAGGGATAAACCCACGCCCAAATCATCCTTTCCACAGTTTCGCGCACCCACAAATGCAGAAAATTATAGAAATAAATCTGTAAACATAAAAATAAACAAAATTACCATCAAAATTTAGAGCTCGACGGGAGGAATCCAACGGTGGGTAGCCCGTGGAATTTCGACTAATGGAACACAAAGAACTCCTCCGGCAAGACCACCGTCGTCGAATGAAAAAAAATTGCATAAACAGATCTGTTCTCTAAAGTGAATGAAATCACCACCAAAAGAAAGAGCTCGACGAGAGGATTCCAACGGTAGTTAAACCATCGAATTCCGACCACCGGAGAGAGAGTTATGGCTCCGGGAAGCAATTTCACCGGTGGGAGGTTTGTGGAGGCGGGATTTTGAATTTGGGAGAAGAAGAGACCGAAATGTGAGTGTCTAGGGTTTAAAACTGATTTTAAAAGGGTATTATAGGTACTTCAGAGGGGCCCAGGGGGTATGTCAAAATATTTTCGAAATTAGGGGGGTTTCCATTAGAGTGTAATCCACTTGGTAGTTAGTTTTATATAATTTGGGAATGAGGGGGTCTACAAAATAATCCCTATTATTTATCTCCTTCTCCTATTCTATTATTCCTATATATTCTGATCCTTAATTCCTTATTCTAATTTTGACCAGTCACCGTCGATCTCTCTCGTTGACCTTTTTTTTTAGAAAACTTTTCGTTTTTTAATTTTGTTTTCGACAATTCAATCTCCGGTCTCCAACATTGATTTTGTTTTTTAATTTATTTCCTCTCTAAACTACTGTGTTAACAACAAAATTATTGTTTGAAATATAAATATTGAATACCAAACCAGAAATATTATTATCCCAAACAGTAATATTACTGTCTCAAACAGTAATATTATTGCATGAGACAGTAATATTACAGTCGAAAACAGCAAAATTGCAAACCAAGAGAAGATAAAATTAATGCAACGGTAATATGTAATATTGAAAAAGTTAAATTTATAAAAATTATATTATAAACCTCAGCTTTTCCTCGTAAACGTAACTGGCCTGGTTTTGGAAGAACCAGGTCCAGGTGCACGTGCATGTTGGATACTCGAACAAGCAAAAAACCCTAAAATCACTACACATCGATCTGTGTGAAACCAAACAGATCTAGACAGCCCCTATAAAATCAATCAGGACTAATGAACTGAGTTCCATGTCCACAATTAAAAAAGAAAAAAGAAAAGAAACAAGAAACATGGCGAAATCCTCAGTAAGCATGAAACTCCTGATTGACAAGGAAGCCGGAAGGGTACTGTATGCGGAGGCAAGCAAAGACTGCGTTGACTTCCTGTTCTACGTACTCTCTTTGCCTGTGGCCAAGCTCATAAGTCTTGTCGGAAAGCAACAAATGGTGGGCTGTCTGGCAAACCTCTACGACAGCATAGAAAATCTGAACGATTCATACATACAGCCAAACAGGAACAAGAACACCTATCTGAAACCAGCTGTTATCATCCCTCCAACTTCGTGCTCCTACGTTCCTCTGCTTGCTCTCGAAGATTCTTTCTACACCTGTAATAACCCGACCGCTGTTTGTCCGAGTTGCCGGCGGTTTGTAAACATGGCCATGCATTATGTTTATCCACGTGGGAAGAAACGGTATTGTGAAGAAGGTGTTGGGTTTGTTAGAGGGGTGGTGAGTTATATGGTGATGGATGACTTGGTGGTCAAGCCCATGTCTACTATCTCCACCCTGACTCTTCTCAACAATTTTAATGTTAAGGAAGTTGGTGCTTTGCAAGAAAAAGTTGTCCATCTTGGAATGCCTCAGGTATGTATGTATATATTACATGTAATTTTCCTTTGTCTTGGATTTGATAATGAGGTGACATAATTAATAATTGTTGTAATGACTTGGCATATATAGGCGGTGAAGTTGTTGAAGGCTTCTCTTGAGACTGACAGGGTTCTTACCACCGTGTTCTTGAAGGGTCCTCGTTGAATTTTTTAAGAAATTACACAGTTTATTATCATGACTCGGAGTTCCTGTTTTGGATTAGTACGTACTTGTGCTAATTTATTTTCTTTTGTTTTAGGGATGTTTAATATATATATGCATGCTAGTTTCTGATTTGCTTCTATTACAAATCTGAAGCCACTTTTAGGTCAAATTTAATTTAACTTTTGTATGGTGCTTATCCAATCGGAAAATATCGGTGTATCGTTTTCGTGTATATCGTGTCGTTCATCGTATAGTACGATATTTAACCAACTATTAAAAATAATAAAATATATATACACATCTACATAATAAAAATATTACAAAAATATTGCAACCAGGTAAAATTTAATAATTTAAATTCAAACTACTCATTTCCACGAATAGTTGATTGAAGAAGATCGAGACTTGATAGAGTTAGCAAGATTTCACTAGTAGAAAAATTGCTTTTTATTATGACCATTAACCGTAGTAAAATGTATCGAATTTGTAGTAAGAATGCCTTTGCTATGCATTTGCTACAATTTTGCTCCGCAGTATATACGGGCGTGACAAAAATTTTGCTACGGTAAATGACCGTAACAAATATTTATTTAATATGGTAAATTTTAGCATTTAGTACGACTCAAAAGTTGTACCGTAATAAAAAAAATACCTTTTGTTACGGCTTTTTACTGTAACAAAAACAAATTGTAGTAATTAATATGATTAAATTCCTAACCAATATGTATAATATGATTCTAAATTCTACTATGTTTTTGGGATTGTGGTCACTTAAAATAACTCATAAACTTGCAGTTATCTCAATTATTAGCCAAGACATACTGTATGACTTGTGATGGCAGTACATAATTATCCCACAATTGTATTCGAATGTCACACATATATTATAACACATGCTGCTGAAATCAGCTACATGCTTAAAATAGTGTTTAAACCTTTAAGGAACTGTATTTCCGAAATAAATAAACTATATTAATTAATTAAATAGGTTTTTGATGGGCAAAAAGGTTTACCACAACCAAGAGAATTTATATTTTATGACACTGAGTAAATGAAAAACTATTTAGAGCATGATGTACAATTTTAACAACAGTTAGTACAATTCCTTACATTATATCCAACAATTGCATCAAGGAAATAATAGGAAGGGAAAATCTAAATCAGTTTCAAGGCATGATGTACAATTTTAATATCACACATCCTCACATGCAGGTGTGCTTCTTCTCTCAATCACCAAAAAGTAAGTTAGTTGAGAGAATAAAGAGAAAAAAATCAACTTGTGAAAATTTACAAAAGACCAAACAACTACCAATGATTTTTTCTATATATCTAAAAGTGAGCTAATTAAAAAAAAAAAAAAAAAAACATTTACCTATGTAAACATTCACACCAAACATGAAATTAATGCCTGAAATCGCGCAGCTCAAAAGGAAATTAGTCGTTTTCCAGTGGAATTCATGAAATGGGGTGTAAAGGGTTTTTATTTTTACTAAGGGTGCATTTGGATGGAGGGATTTGGGGGAGGGATTTCAAATCCATAATAACAAATCCCTCGGACTTGTTTGGATTGAGGGATTTGGAGATGGATTTCAAATCCCTACCCCTCCTTTTTAGTTGATTTTGGAGCAATAGTGATGGATTTCAAATGACTCCAAAATTGGAGTCATTTCAAATCCATTCCCCATATCAAATCCCTCCCCAAATCCCTCCATCCAAATGGACCCTAAAATTGATTGGAAAAGGGGGACTCGTGTTTGCAGGGTTCCTTTTCTTCAATGGGAAATCCAAAAATCTAGGGTTACAGGAAGAAAGTAAGAACTCATATGAACCAAGGGTATAAGTTACTAGAGTAAACTGTAAAAAGTACCCATGTGTAATCTGTAAATAGCGAAAACTGCCCTATGATAAATAAATTAGCAAAAACTCCCCTATGAAATTATTTAAATAGCACACTCAGCTCATTTCTCATTTGAGTGTTGACTTCATATAAAAAGACACAAATACCCCCGGAATTATGCAATTAATAAAGTCTTATATTTTTTAAATATTTTAATTATTTTATTTTTATTATATCTTAATTATAAAGGTATAATGGGGCCTTTAATTTATTTCTATTTTTATTGTCACATAATGTTTGTATATATTTTAAATTATCTCTACATCAAAAGAAAACTTAAATTGCATTATTATGTATTAATTAAAAAAATCTATACTTAATTTGATTAACAAATTTTTAATAATTTTTCAATTTAATTATTTACTATTTTTTTAACAATATTTTAATTTCTAAACAATCAAATTAAAAGGAAAATATATATATACATATAAATACATTTTTAGGCTCAATTTCGTCATTTCACGTCCAAAAACCAACTACAAGTCGCGCAACCCGCGAGTGAGCCACACGTAAGTCAACCGGGGGGATTTTGCCTTAGACTAAATTTTATAGGAGGGTTTTTGCTAGTTTATTTATCACATGGAGTTTTTTGCTATTTAGAGATTACACATGAGTACTTTTTGCAGTTTACTCTAAGTTACTACTACCCTCAAAGAGTTGATTGAAGCGTATAAAGTTGAAACTGCAAGATCCGACGATAAATTCACCGGAAAACGTACGTCCAGATATCAACGGAAAACGCCGAAACTGCAAACAATTGCCTTCATAATCCCCGATTCTCCACTTCAATAATGTTGAAATTGAGAAATAGTTAGATTAAGGAGCAACAATTTGTACATAACATAGAGATAGATGAGAAGGGGGAAGAAGGTCGTGATGTACGAGTTGCAGGGTTAAGGCTGGTGAGAAGGATTTGGGAGAGAATAAGAGCTTTCATATCGGGTTCAAGTGAAATAATGGACTCAGTGTGAGGGTGTCCAAGTAATTTTACTCCTCCCACAATCAGTTTGACGTCGGATTACATGAACCCACCCTCTCTGGCCGGATGACTTATCACGCAAATAAGGGACACAGATGCGGGCCGAGGATCAATCCCGGGGTACGTGACACATGAACCAAATGCCGGTACCGCATGGATTATATTGTCAATCAGGGCTAATCAATTGAACCAAAAGAGCCCTAATATTCATAATATGCACAAACATACAAAAATTTTAAATTCTACGCGAAAAAAACGAGTAAGAATGACATGGTCGAAAAAGTCGACGGTCAAAAGTCAACATATGCTGACGTGGCAGGTGACAACGCAGCCAGACCAGGAGATGAAGCGCAGACGTGGCAGATGACAAAGCTAGAATCAGCTAATTACTCTAATCAATCTAACTATATATTCTAGCTTGCATGATTAAGACTGCCATTTTTTTATTCAAAACATTAATGCCATCTGTTTATATGATTTAGACTGCCATTTAATTTTTAATCAACATTGTTTGGTTAATTATGTTTGATTGTAATACAAATTATCACCCTGACGCAAACTATGTTCAATGCTGTCCTTCCTCAGCAGGCTACAGATCCTTCAAACAGAACCTCCAAAAAGCCGGCCTTCGACAAAATCGACGTTTGCATGTTATAAAATAGACAATGCTGATTAATTTTGTAGTCGAATATTATCGAAAAATGGCATCCATGTTCCTTGTTGCAGCCATTTGCATCTTCACTTTCCATTCAGTGTCTGCGAATAGCAGCTATCAAACTTATATTGTCCACGTCAGATCGCCGGCCGACGTCGGATTTTCGGGACATAATTATTATCGCAAAATCTCAAAACATGGTACAATTCATTCATGCCATTCGAACCCACAGCATTGTCTCGCATAGTTCACACGTATCGGCATGTGCTCACGGGATTCGCAGCGAAACTATCGCCGGACGAAGTGAAGGAGATGGAGAAGAAACGAGGATTTTTGTACGCGAGGCCGCTGTTGAGTGTAGATATTACACTCAATACGTTTACTTTACGTGGATCTTTTGTTTAGATTTAATTATATTTGTGCTTTAATTGATTGATTTTGTGTTTTATAGGTGAAAAACGAGAATTAGGTGTCCATGAAGGAAAAAAGATCAAAAAGAAAGGAAAAAGTTATAAATAAGGAAACAAATCAAATTGGAAGAAGGAATCTCGCCACAGCTTTGACAGTGTCCACGATTTCGAGCATATCTCTCTCATACGAACTCCGAATTAGGCGATTTTGACGGCATTGGAAAGCTAATTTCAAGGGCAACAATTCTTATTTACACAACATTCCAAAATTCGGATTCCAACATGGCACAAATTGACGAACAAATCCTGATGGGGGAAAGTGGCGGAAATTGATTCCTATTAGGTTTCCACTACTTCCTTATCAAGAAAAGCCTATAAAAGCAACAAGTCTCTACACCATAAGGACGAAATTTTACACCACAAAACACGAAGAACGAAGATCAACGAAGACTCAAGCATAGTTTTTCTTATTTCTTTTATTTTTATTTTGTTTATCATAAGAATTACGAGTAGCTAAGTTTTTAATCTAGGATTTTATTTGAACCCTATGTGGTAATTCGAACCTCTTTTTCTACTTTTATGCAAGTTTAATTCTTCGATTATTTCTTCTATTTTGATCTTATTTAGCGCATGAACGTAGCTAATTTATGTTGCTATTGGTTATTGTTAGAATTGATTGACAGATCGTTTTAATAATTAGAACAGGGATAGAAGAGCCTTCGAGTAGTTTTCACCGAATGAGTGTGTCAATTGCATGTATTATCGTAGACATATAGATAATACCTTAGGTAGCCGTTTACGAGACTTGTTATTTAATGCTTTATTTATACTAGGTTTGCATAGACATATAGTGAATCTTTTATGAATAATAGACTTATAATACAGCGACAGCTGGTTATGAGTAATTTCGTGTCTTGGGTTAATAATCGGGAATCATAACTTGCATGATAGGGAATTAATTGGGTGAAGAATTATCGCATAGGGGGAAGATAAAATCCTAGATCCGTTTTATATTGATATTTTCTCGTGTTTAATTGCTTTCTTAATTAGTTTAATTTA